TCTACCCTATATTTACACATGATAGACATCATCTCTCCCCTATATTTACACATGATAGACATCATCTCTACCCTATATTTACACATGATAGACATCATCTCTACCCTATATTTACACATGATAGACATCATCTCTACCCTATATTTACACACGATAAACATCATCTTTACCCGTATATTTACACACAATAAACATCATCTCTACCCTATATTTACACACGATAAACATCATCTCTACCCCTATATTTACACATGATAGACATCATCTTTGCCCCTATATTTACACATGATAGACATCATCTTTACCCGTATATTTACACATGATAAACATCATCTCTACCCCTATATTTACACATGATAAACATCATCTCTACCCGTATATTTACACACGATAGACATCATCTTTACCCCTATATTTACACATGATAGACATCATCTCTACCCGTATATTTACACACGATAGACATCATCTTTACCCCTATATTTACACATGATAGACATCATCTCTACCCGTATATTTACACACGATAGACATCATCTTTACCCCTATATTTACATACACACGATAGACATCATCTCTACCCCTATATTTACACATGATAGACATCATCTCTATCCCTATACTTACACATGATAGACATCATCTCTAGTATATATATATATATATATATATATACTAGCATAAATACCCTTGCTCTGATGTGGGGTTCAATGCCCCCTCTCATGGTTCCCAATGTACTGATTAAACTCCTCCATTATCCACAATTACTTCTATAGTTATCCCAATGGGGTCCATATTTTAAAACAAACCCTGTTAGGATACCTGAGCACGTGTACCCATGGTTGATCCAATTATCTTATAAGTGGGGGTATGAACACAGTTTTGAGCAGGGGGGGAGATCAAGGACACCAAGTTCAATGCCAGATTCAGATTCAGCGATCCCGAAAATCTACTTCTAGACCCCCCCCCCTCCATCATGCCTGAATGACCTTTTGGACATTTTTGGGTCTCCTTGTATAGGGGGGGGGGAGAGCTAGACTATATAGATAAGAACACTCCCTGGGCCACTCCAAGTCCTCCTGTCAAATTTGGTAAATCCAGAAGTGTACTGAGTCTCGAAAGTGAACTGGCTATTTTCCTAATACCCTTAATTTTTTATTTTAGATAAACTGTCAATCAAGATATTGTTCCTCCATATCTCGTTATTCTGTAAGCCACTCACTACTAGTGAAGATTTAGAAAGCTAATTTAATGCAATTGTTGTTTTCTTTCCAGAACAATATTCCTACAATAACAAAGTTGAAGAAACAGCTAAGTAAACTAATATTGGACATGGATTCAGCTAGATACAGGTACAAACTTCCTAATCCTTACAAACCATACTATTAGTACATCGTTATAACTTTGTTCATTGTGCCAAAAGTCACAATAGTTTCTGTTCTTGAAGCCAAGCATTCCAAAATCAACCTTGTTTTAGAGTTAAACATTGTATACAGTTAATATTAGGCTTATTGTAATACGTTAATATTAGGCTTATTGTAATACGTTAATATTAGGCTTATTGTAATACGTTAATATTAGGCTTATTGTAATACTTTAATATTAGGCTTATTGTAATACTTTAATATTAGGCTTATTGTAATACTTTAATATTAGGCTTATTGTATTCTTTATCATTTCATTCTTTAGTTAGTCCCTTAGGTTTTTTCAAGAAGAAGAGTGTATAATGGCATTTCGTCCATACTATATCGATATTATGCAGTGTTTAAAATACAGTAGGCCTAATTATAATGTCTTACCAATCCTGTACATATTAATATTTTACTCATTACATTAGTACTTTTTAATTATCAGAAGATAACTTAGTCTTGTATTAACTGTTGTATCATCATGCCAAAATAGTCATTCGTATTTAACAGTACACAAACTTTTTTACGATAGAAAGTTCACTTATAACATTAGTTTTAAACTTCAGTACAAGTTCAGTATTTTTTTACTAGTGTAAAGGGCACAAAATTTTTTATTTTTTTCTGTTTTCTAGACATCAAACTGCCGTAAGACATATGCAACAGACAACTGGCAGTAATGTTGCCCCTGCCATTGCAAAATCAGATGTACTGAAAGCAGAGTTAGAAGAAGCCTCTTTGAAAGTTGACCAGTGTAGGGTAAGTAAGAGAATTCCCACCAGGAGATATAACTTATCTTTGTATCTGTCAAGAAAATATAAATAATCAAATGTTTTGGACGGATTCCGTATTACATCCTTCAATGAATATGTATTTTTTAGTAACATCCCATTTTCAATATGGAACTTTTGCTTCCAGAAAATTAGTTTCTTTCCGAAATAATGGTAAAGAGTTCCTGTATATAATAAAAATATCTCCTCTAAAAACCTTATTTGTCGTTAGAAAAGTGCTTTTCTTGAAAGACCAAAAACTTAATTCGTCTTAAAAAATTAGTTTTCTGATGCGGAAGTAAATATGTTTCCATTTGTCAAAGAAAGTTTTGTTTGGACACAGTTGTTGCTGATCCCCATCACCGAACATGTTCACCCAATAGAATGTTTATATATCAGACCCTTTTGACGGATGAAATAATTTAATACGTGTGTAGGCCCGGTATTGCCAGGTGGTTAGGGCGCTCGACTCGCAATCTTAGGGTTGCGGGTTCGAATCCCCTTCCCACCAAACATGCTCGCCCTTTCAGCCGTGGGGGCGTTATAAAGTGATGGTCAATCCCACTATTCATTGGTAAAAGAGTAGCCCAAGAGTTGGCGGTGGGTGGTGATGACTAGCTGCCTTCCCTCTAGTCTTCTTAAAAGATCAGTAGGAATATTGTTTCAGTGGGACTTTAGGCAGAGTAATCATGATAGGTTTCGTACTTCACTAACTTGCCATTCATTAAGACACTGCTTATATGCATAAGTTCAAGGCTTACTTCACGTTATTCGGTAATCTGTCTGTTTAAATTACTAAAGACGCCTTGTTGAGATGCTTGAAAATCACACGATTTTTGAATAATCTGTAGGAAGAAAAATTATATTACATTGTATAATAGCTGGCGAAAGTGTATGGCCAAAATCTAGAGATTTCAAATTATTCAGCTCCAGGTTTTTATTCAAAATTTACTTTTGTAAGAAACTACTTTCAGTTAAAGTTTATAATAACTTATTAACTGCATACTTGTATCTACATTTACTTGTTTTAACTTCCAGCATTAATCAGTCTAAATATGTTTCATTGGAAGTTAGAACAGTTTAAGTTATATAATTGCTACATCAGAACAATCCTTCCACAGGACGCCCTCACGATCGAGATGTTGACTATAGTGACTAAAGAAGTTGAGTTTGCCCAGTTGTTTGTTGATTGGTATCAACTCCAGGCTGATTACCACAAGAGGGTATCACAGATTCTGGAAGAAACTATTCCCGACTTAAAAACTGAAATCAGTAAGTCAGTGTTACGTTAACACGGTGCTAACACTCGAAGACTTAACAATAAATGTACTTATAAAACATTGAAGGTCTTTTCTTGTTAAGACAGTGTTATACTCCTAAAACTGTAGACTTTCTAAGTAAAACAGTTTCAGTTTATGTACAATATAGATTTCAAACATCCTGTGTATTCTATTTATGAACTTCAGAATATGAATTCATCATAATTTTAATATTAGATAAAGCTACTTTTGTACATGAACAAACTGTTGATTATAGGTGTTTAAACCTAATAGTATTTTTATTCATGCTACTATTTTAGCTGCATTGTGTACCATTGATTTAAGGTTTTTGTTTGGACTCCTTTGTAAAGAATGACTTGTACCTAAAATTTTTACATTACATATTTCACAATATTGTTAAAATAACCATTGTGGTGATTACAGGTAATTGTTTTCGAAATATATTATAAAGATTAGTAATACCAAATACTTTTGTTCAAAAGAATTTTAGCTTATCATAAGTCGTGATAAAATGTGTGTATAAATCTTGTATTTAATAAAATCATCGTATTTCAATATAAATCATGTATTTAATGAAATCATCATCTTTCAGTATAAATCTTGTATTTAATAAAATCATCATATTTCAATATAAATCATGTATTTAATGAAATCATCGTCTTTAAAGACGATGATTTTATTAAATACAAGATTTATACTGAAAGATGATGATTTCATTAAATACAAGATTTATACTGGCAGTATAAATCTTGTATTTAATGAAATCATCATATTTCAGTAAATGTTTTTTTTTTTCCTGATTGCAGAAGATTATGTTTTCAGACCTGTGTACGGAACTCCTTTAGAGGAACATCTACGAATTACAAACCGCCAGATTGCTTTTGTTGTGGAGCAGTGTGTGTGTGGTTTACTATCAATGGGAATGAAGGAAGAGGTAAACTAGAAGCAACCTTTAAGTTGTGTGTATTATATCATCTCACAAATGTAAATCATTAATCTTTATCAGTTATGGCTAAAACAAGCTATGAATTTGACATCTAGTCCGAATCTGATCTCTAGTGAGTGTGCTGTGTCACGTATATGGGATACATCGAATAACAAGTAAATATTCGTATTGAGAAAAACTTGATATATTTAAAATATTGCCATTTGTTTTTAGAATAATCAGTAACATATATTTTAACTTGTTAACCTAAAATGCCAGATTTGGGAGTTACTGGTTATCTTTTCATTTGTTCAACTAAAGTATAGATTTTTGTAGTTATTGGGTATGTTAAATGTTATCACTAGCCAACGGCAAGTAGCACTATTCACAGTAAATTGGCTCCTCCTGGTTGCTATAAAATTAACAGAAAAGCTAATGCGGAACCAGAGTGGGTGGTAAAATTCTGTTTTAAATTAGAAACTTGATATTTGTGAGATATGAACCGTATATTAAACAACAATAATTATTACAGTGTTTATAAAGCAGTGAATGTACAACCTGTTGTGTTTGATTTATGTCGTTATTTTAGGGCTTGTTTCGAATAGCAGGCAGTGCAGCCAAAGCCAAGAAACTTAAGGTGAGGCTGAAGTTGGGAGCATTTTATTTATCTTTTCGTGGCTAACAGTTTTCTTGATTTTTCTGTTCTTTTATAAACCCAATAACGTATTACATCAAACACGATGACATTTTAAAATATTCAGTTGGCTGTTTTACATCTTATCACCTTACCCAGTAAAGATTAAATTTCTAATTGCTTCTTCGGCTTAAAATCATGTATCCATAGTTTTACCAAATGGCCTTATTGCCAGCTTCCATATTTATCACCTGATATGATTATCTTTGTAGTTATCACACAAATTTTGTAATTTTATTGGTGAAATACAGTATTAACTTTTCCCAGAAAAAATAATTTTTATATCTCCAGTAATTTCTTGTGTGTGTCTTGGCAATGCTGTTAGTGTTAGATTAGACTCCATGGTAGTGAGTATCATCTAGAAGTTATTACCTTGATGTTAGTGTTATATTAGACTTTATGGTAGTGAGTAACATCTACAAGTTATTACCTTGGTGTTAGTGTTAGATTAGACTTTATGGTAGTGAATATCATCTACAAGTTATTACCTTGATGTTAGTGTTAGATTAGATTCCATGGTAGTGAGTAACATCTACAAGTTATTACCTTGATGTTAGTGTT